TTTGACAAACAAAATAAAACTGAACACATATGACACATTCAAAACATGTGCATGCAGGCATTACACACTTTTTAAAAATGCATATAAAACTTACTTTATCAAAATTGTGTTTGAAAAATGTTAGCCATGCATGCTAAACTGTAAAAGGTCATGTTACAAATATTTTTGAGATGTTTTGATTAAATTATGACACAAAAATTGTAAGGTAACACCCAGAATAATTAACTTAGATATCATTTTTAAACACTAACAAAAGATTTATGGAAAATTTAAGTGCAACAAACACACCTCCAGAAAAACAACAACAACCCAAAAAAAAAAAAAACCAAAAAAAAAAACCAACAGAATTTTAATGTTTAATAGATGTTAAAATGTAGATATACCACATAACTTGCATGAATGTGAGAATAACAGTTTTTATAATCTAATATAAAGATAATCTGATTGTCAAAAAAGGTGTTTCTGGAATGCGTAAACATTGCATTAAAAAAATTTAAAGGAAAACAGCTATAACCTACAAATTAAGTAGGCCCTAAATGATCAATACTAACTTTGTTATTTTAATGATGCTTGCACTCATCATCTGCTCATCTAATCGCAACAACTTCAGCCTAAGGCTCAGCATCCTACGTTTCTCTTCTATTTCTTTGCTTTTCTCTTCAGCATCTTCTCCCTATGGGACATTGTAAAAAAAAATGATGGCATTATCTGCAGATAAACATTGAATCAATTGAAGCTGTTTTTTATTTTAAAATTAATGTAATAAGATTAAATCTGAACAATGAAGAAAATCATTCTCTAAAATGGTTAAATTTTAATGTGTAGTATCAAAAATATAATACATGGTCGGTACAATTCATTAAAATTTTTGTAAAAAATATTCACAACCTTCTAATAATTTTTTAAACTCACTGTTTGTTTTGTCAGAGCTTCAATTTCTTTTGTGATCTCATCATGAAATCGCATAATGGAGTTATCAGACCCTTCTACTGTTGCAAATCTATCTCCAAGCATATTCACGATAGGATCACGGTTTGCTTGAATAAAATATATAATGATATGACAACATTGCTATAATATTTTTCTTTATGAAATGATTACAGTCAGATGAGAATTAAAAAAAAACCAATGGTAACAAAAGTTATCTGTCTCGTCTTTTATATCAGTCATATGATAGACCAAAACAACTTGCTTTTTCATTAGTTTAGAAAATAAGGAATGCTTTTTTGATTAGATTTTAGATCAAAATTCCCATTACAAAGTATTTATAGTTACAAATGTTTTTTTCTTAGTTTGAAAGTTTCTTTCCTCTTCTGATAATTGATGGTTATTTTTCTAAAAATATAATTAGAATTATTTTCAATCAAGCCCAATAGAAATATAATTCAGTAAAGTAGTTTTGAAACTTAAAAACTTGATTAAAAAAACAACAACAAAAAACATGAAAAATTTTATGTCAGATATTTTGAACACTTGCCTTCCAAACTGGCTCTTAGCTCCACCATCTTTTTATCACCAGCTTTTTGAAGCACATAATGGGCTTGTCCAAGGGTCAAGATATTCATTACTCCATCTTTCAGCTCAAGTAATCGTGCCTTGCCTTTGGGTGAAGTTGCTTCTGAGTAGATGCTTGTATAACTGTTTATTAATTAAACAGATAAGTTTATTTTAATAATTATTTGGAAGATAAAAATTGTATTTTTAAAAATTAAACCTGAATAAACATTTTTAGAAATTGTATGTGGGCTAATTAAGCAGAGGGTGTCAAATTATTTTAAATGAGTATGATTTGCCACCATTTCAATTTAAAAAAGATTTCTTTAAACACTCATCCGTACTCGTCGCCATTGCAGCTGGGGCTTAGCATCCCCCCGCCCTTTTGGTAAGTCCTTACTACATCACAGCTAGAGTTAGAAATCTTTCTGCCATACAAGTTAAGCCAATATTACTATTATGTAAAATATATATATACAAAATGTTATAGTGGCTGCAATATACAACGTCCCAAAAAGACACAGTAATTTACCTAACAACATAGCCTGGTCCTTCAATATCAGATTTTGTTAATGAAGTTTTCCATGTCAGTGGTTTCTTAAAAACCAACTGACTTTCCTCTTGTGAGCTTCCTTCTTCTGCAAAGTGCAATATCATATTTAGGAGTTCTTCGTTAATGGCTGTAAACTCCAATTTCCCAGTGCTTCCATCTTGAGCAGATGTCCACTGTGCTGCTCTACGTAGAGTTTGTCCCATTGTTGTCCTATTTTTTGCTGCACTTCTTGTTAGAAGTTACTCTTAATTTTGATTCAGAGACACTCCTAAATGATTATCAAATTGAAGTTTAAATGACCATTCCTTTTTTCAAGTACTAGGAGGAGCCAGTAATAATGCATTCCTATACAAATGTAATATGTTAATTTCCAGTGATAGGAATAAAAGATGTCTATTTAACAAATATATATATTATATATTTTAGTAGATTGTTAATTCCACATATTTACATATTGGCTACAAAAAAATTGTTAAAAATTTTGTCAACTCAAAATTTAAAATTATAATTAATTCACATTGACAACTGATTTTGTTTTAAATTAAAATTATAGTTATAGTTATAGTAATAGTAATAGACTTCACTTACTCATGTAACAGTAACCTACTAATACGATTATAAGCAGTACTGTAGTATAGTCACATACGATTTCATCTACTTAGGCTAAGCATATTAATTATTATATTATTATATAATTTAAAAGTTTATAAGTTTATAAAACACGGTACTCAGCAAACTACTAACTGGATTGTAAATAGTATTCTTGATTAGTGATGATTAATCATGATTAGCAATCAAAACAATGACCATATATGTTGTTTCATAACACATTATGTCGGGCGCATAAAAATAATATTTCAAACTTAAAAATAAAAACCTTATCTTGTCACAATCACGGATAATTGCCAATATTATATAAAAACTTACAGGCATATGTTTAAATTTGTTATAACTCGTCTGCTTTCCCCAAGTACGAGCATTGGCTTCTGTAGCAACTGTTGTCAATAATCTTTGCGCATGCGCGTTATCCTTACGATAGTCTCGCATTCTTTATTTTAAAAAATAAATAAATAAAAAAATAATACAATTTTTTAAATATTTTTTTTATTTTTTCATTTTGATGATTATTTTTTGTTGCACTCCATTATTATATTCTTATACAGATCATACATATTTTCAGCATAATTTTATAATAAATTTATAATTGAGAATTCTATTTCTATCAACACCATCCAAAACCTTATGTCAACAAAATGTCCTTGATGTCAACACAATGTAGGTCACAAATTAAATTTGGTTTCCCTTCGTGTGATCTTACTCCTTTCTTCCTCTCTTTCTTCCTTCTATTGGGCTTGTTAAGTTTTCTCACACTTCTATACACTCTCAAAAACATTTGAATAAATTAAAATAAAAAAGACACGAACATCATTTATTTTTTTATTTTTTTATTTTCTATTTTGATAAATATTTTATCATTTCATACACTCATTAAATATGTTAAAGCGAAAAAAAGGCACAGTTAAATAAATTGAAGGCCCCATCGAAAGATGTTTGTCATTAAGAAAAGTTAAATGATGTTTTTTCTCAGATTTAGTTGTGGAGTATTCAGGGGATGGTGGGGTAATCACGGATTTTGGGGTGATCAGGGAATGGTGTGGTAATCAGGGAGCATTTTGGGCATTCCTGGAATGTTGGCATTGTCAGGGAATGGTGGTTTAATCAGGGAATGTTGAAGATTTTAGGGAGTGATGGGATGGTCAGATAATGTTGGGATAGTCAGCAATTTTTGGGGTGGTCAGGGCATGGTGGGGTAGTCAGGGCATGTTTGAGATTATAGTGAGTGGTGGGATTGTCACATACTGTTGGGATAGTCAGCAATTTCGGGGTAGTCAGTAAATGGTGGCGTATTTAAGGAAAGGTGGCGATGTGAGGGAATGTTGGGATAGTCAGAGAATTGTGGGGTGTCTTCAGGGAATAGTAAGATAGTCAGAGAATTGTGGGCGGTCTTCAGGGAATAGTGAGATAGTCAGAGAATTGTGGGCGGTCTTCAGGGAATAGTGAGATAGTCAGAGAATTGTGGGCGGTCTTCAGGGAATAGTGAGATAGTCAGAGAATTGTGGGCGGTCTTCAGGGAATAGTGAAATAGTCAGAGAATTGTGGGGGTCTTCAAGGAATAGTGAGATAGTCAGGGAATGGTGGGGGTCTTCAGGGAATAGTGAAATAGTCAGGGAATGGTGGGAGTCTTCAGGGGATAGTGAGATAGTCAGGGATGGTGGAGGTCTTCAGGGAATAGTGAGATAGTCAGGGAGTGGAGGGTAGTTAGGGATTGGTGGGGAAGTCAATCATCCATGAGAATATAAATTTCTGTCAAACAGGTCAATATTTTGTGTGGATGAGAGCGTTAGAGAGAAAGAGAGAAAGAGGAAAAAAAAAGAGAGAGAGAGAGAGATAGAGAGAGACAGAGAGAGAGAGAGTGTGAGGGAGCGTGAGATAGAGAGCGAGAGTGAGGAGGATTTTATAAAAACAATTAAAATAACGGGAATGTGGCAAATTATTCCAGATTAACTTTTATAAAATCTTTCTCTGTCTCCCTCACAAAATATTGACCCATTCGACAATTGTTTAAGTATTGATTTCGAGGCGGAAATTAAGTAAAGTCTAGCAATCCTTGTATTGGAGGTTTAGTTGTATTAGCAGTTATAAATTGATAAAGACATAAGCGGGACATATTTATGTAAGGGGATTGTAACAAGTGTAAATTTTTAAGCTCTAACAGGTCTAATCAAAGCTATCTGTAGTTCATAATGACACAGATGATATAGGCCCCCATGCCCCAAAACAACAGCCCTTTAAATGACCGACTTGTATTCTAGATATTATATCGTTTTTTTGAGCTCGTGCGATAAAATTAAAATTAAAAAAAATGTGTGCTCGGGAAAAAAAGTCCTTACGATTAAGATTGAGTTGTTTGATTGAACAGATCCTGGCAGTAGCAGTAAGCTTTCTTTGTAACATCTGGCTCGCAATCCGCCTGACCTTCATAAAAGTTTAATCTGTCAATTGTTTCTCCGACTGTCACCGACAGAGTGTTGTTGACTTCCGCCAAGTTCAGCGCTTCAATATAATGCAGCAGATCCGTATCCTCACATTTCGTCGTAGTTATCGTTCCTTCGTACAGGGCGCCACCTGGCGAAGTAATGAATTTGATTTTAAATACTCTCTGCTCCTTGCCATCATCTTTCTTCAGTGTGATGTAGGCGACGTTAACAATCTCTTCTAAATGTAAGTTCGCACACTTCGTTTTGTTCGTTTTGTGATTAACTGACCTTAGAACAAGATCGACTAATCCATGACTTAATTCGGACGCGCTGGGAAGCTCTTGTATTCGACCCTGGCCACACAGACAAAACTCCATTGGGATGGGGATGTCTTCACACACTCTTGACTTCGGCAATTCCCCGAAAAGAGATGCCCCGTGAATTCCTGGAATTAAAGGACCCGTGCGATCAGACTTGAAATAGATGAGATCCTTCAAGGTTGCGTGTGTGTCGAAATGGGTCGTGAGTCGCTCAGTGTTTGTTTTTAAATTTCTTGCAGCATCCGGATACTTGTCCAAAAACCATTTGGGGAAAGTCAGAATCGTATAGGGAGCGCGACTTTCAATTAAGCCGTTAAATGTTTGTCGGAGCCGCCCCCATCGGATGCCGTGATCAGAAAACGACACCAGCAACGTTTTATTTAAATGTCCGCTGTCGTTGAGGTATTTATAAAAGTCGTAAGTGTGATCGTCGGCCATTTTTGTGGTCGTTGCGTCATCGTGTGAGATCCTTGTTTGGAAGTACATGGCGAACAGCGGCTCGCCTTTGAATGTTTCTAGATACTTTTTAACGTATTCGTAGTGAAAGGTAATCTCCGGCAGATTACCCAGGCAATGGCGACCGGCTTTCCATATAGAACTGTCATCCTCGATTGCCAGGCAGATCGGGCGACTGTAATGATGTGTTGGTGGGATTCTAAATCCTTTTCGCCCCAAGTGAAACGCCCCGAGGGTGGGCTGGTCCTCCGTGTACAGTGTCCTATACCCGGCGGTCTCAAAGTCCTTCCAAACGAAGTCGAATGTGTCCAAGAATCCGGAAGTCCGCCACCATCTTCTGATTTCGTTTTCGTAGCTTCCGGTTAAGAGGGCCAAGACGTTGGGGAAAGTGTTCACGCCGACCTGCGTGTGCATGCTCAGGTCGAATGAGCCCAGCTCGTTCATCGGGAACTCGTAGGTTTTGTTCATCGCCCTCATGAAGTGATTGCGAGAAACTCCATCCATTCCTATCATGACGACGTTCAGCGTTTCTTTCGGGCTGAACGTGACATCACGCCTCTTGAACTTGAAAGACAGCTCTTCTGCCAAATCTCGGCGTTTGGGAACGAGGGTGTGGTAAGTTTTAGATGTCGTGCCGGATGCGTTATTTTCACACACGCTCACAAGAAATTCAACATTTTCTCTCAGGCGTATCCCGGAAGTGAAGCTGTCGCTCCACCCCCCGAAGGTCATATTTTTATCCCCTGACGGGTGGACGAGGATCTCCTGATATTTGCATGATTTGAAATCAGCAATGGCCCTGACCCGTGTTTGGTTGACCTCTAGCCTGTTACCTCTGACGTAGGTCAGATCCGGCATGTAGCCGTCACATTTAACCCGGCGCCTTTCCAATCCGGACAATTTCATGACCTCGGGTGTAAACGGATCGATATCCGGAAAAACACAGGCAAGGCTGTCATTGGGAGCAAATTTTTCCGTAGCATTTCCGGAAATCCCCAAAAGCGTCAGCACACTTTGGCCAAACTGGTAGCCCTCGTTGTGAACTAGATTCTTCATCCTAAAAGTCAATGGGGCAGCAACTTCGTAGTGCTCTACAGCCAGAAGCCACAACGACACGATCACCAAAGTGGCGAACACTTTGGGTATGAAGCGTTTTGATGAGCCTTGAGATGAAACAAAACACAGAGCGTTTGTTAAAGAAATTAATGACATTAAAACAACTCAATAATTTTTTTTCAAAGTTTAAATAAAAAAGAAAAATATTTTGCAAAGGTTGCCATTTCTATCTAAGTTGCTGTATTCAGAGAATTTTTTTGCTCGAGGGGCCGGGGGTTGGGGGGGGGGTGGGATGGGAACCAGAATTTGCTTTCTAAAAATTTTGTTTTTTTTCGAGTTTTTGTTAAAGTGGTTTTGAAAGAAACATTATTATTTATTTTTAAAACAACTTTACATTCCATAGTGGAATGAATTTTTTTCCTTTTTTTTTTTGGTGCCAAACTGGCCATTCGGGTTAAGTTGTACAAATTCAATTTTATTGAGATTTGATGTGTTAAATTTGCTGAAGTCAGATTTCGAAAAGACAAAATCTGGATTGTGCAAGATAATTCATTACTGTGCTTTGAAATCATGACTAAAATGCTAAAAGTTTCTCATGATAAATAAAAAGGAATATGAGACAGAGCATGAAATGGAAAGTTTGACCTCATCAATTCACATCGCAAGGAATTGCCTGAATGATACGAGATAAAAATCACAAGAAGACACTGATATTCAAATATTGGATGAGATTGTGAGGAAAAACAATATTTTCCAGAAAATCAATTTTGATATATATACAGAATATACGAAACACTAGATCTTTACTAAATAAAAAAACAACAACAACATAATTTAAAAGAAAATAAATAAAATCTGAATATTTGGCACCTATTAATGTAAGAAGATGCAATAACTCGAGCAAAAGGAGAATCGAGGGTTGGAAATGAATGCAGTAAGACTCACAATGATATCCCACACACGAGATTGCGCTTCTTGGCATGTTGCGGAAAACAAACTCGACGCTTGACCACGACAAGAAAGTTTCTGACGGTGGCCGCGCCTCATACCGACCGCATCTGTCGCGTGATCGGTTCGATTTTTTTTTTTGTTGTCATGGATAGTCTGTTGATTCTGTTAATGTTCATGTGTTGCCCCGTTTTAAATCTCGTTCCGTTTTATAAAGCGTCCCATTTCACACATCGTCCCGTTTCACACATCGGCCCGTTTCACAGATCGTCCCGTTTCACACATCGTCCCGTTTCACACATCGTCCCTTTTCACACATCGTCCCGTTTCACACATCGTCCCGTTTCACACATCGTCCCGTTTCACACAGCGTCCCGTTTCACACATCGTCCCGTTTCACACAGCGTCCCGTTTCACATCTCGATCTTTTTCTAATCGTCATGCATATTGTTTCCTGGCCCTTGATATCCAAGAACCAATGACTCTTAGAAATCTTTTAAGGAATTTTCACAAAGATCATCATTAATAAAAACCTCCTTATTTTATGATGATTTTCTTTTCCGGAGAGAGGAAACGAGGAATTAAAGCAATATTTATTTTTTTTTAAAATTGTTTGTTTGGCATAAGTCCGTCATCAAAAAAAAAAAGCGGGAAATAGCCTATGTCTCTGTGAACTGATCGGGCAATGTCCGATCTTTTCTTGATTGTGGGGTGTGGCCGGCCAGTTTTCGAAATGGTACGCGGTGACCTGCCATAATCTAAAGTAAAAAAAAAAAAATTGTCCTGAGCAGATTTTGGGAAGTCTTCATCATTTCATTGTTTAAATAGTGTGCTGTAAAAAAGGATGCATTCATCAAGTCAAGCTATTCGATATTATGATAAAACTGTACAAGAATGAGAGAGACGCCCCCCCCCCCCCCCAATAATCTAAAGTAAAAAAAAAAAAATTGTCCTGAGCAGATTTTGGGAAGTCTTCATCATTTCATTTTTTAAATAGTGTGCTGTAAAAAAGGATGCATTCTTCAAGTCAAGCTATTCGATATTATAATAAAACTGTAAAAGAATGAGAAAGACGCCCCCCCCCCCCAGGCGATTAGGAATTTCTTTCTTCAGCACGGTTGAAAGGACACTCGGCCGGACCACACTGCAGACCCTGGCTGAATTCATCTGCCAAGATTCCCAGTGTTGCGCGCCATTGTCGTCGTCGTCGTGGTCATAAATAATGCTAACGTCTGATTCTAAACTGAATGTTCTGTTTGACAACATGCAAGCACTTATAAATCTAATTGTCTAAAACAGTGGCGAAAACGAATGGGAGGGTGGGGCTTGGGGGTGTTCCGCCCCTTACGACACTTTTTTCTCTATTTATGGGAGCAGGGCGGCATTTTCGGCCTAGTCAATATAATAAATAGGGAATTTAAGGATCAAAACACGAAAGTAATATTTTCCCATCAATTACTACTAATTATTAACAGAAACTCTGAAAAGTTTGACCCACTTCTATACAGCGTTTTTTCCCATATCTTGGTTCTTATTTTTACATGGTTCTTAAAAAAAAAAAAAGTTTCCATGCCGGGCCAGTTACGACATATAAAACATACATCGCTCTTTCAGGGTTCGTCATTTCCAGGTTTCACTGTACCAAAACAGCAAATAATATATCTATATAGACAGGATTAGATTGGTGTTTAGATTGCAATGGACTGTCACAGACTGCCTTAGACTGACATAGACTGCCATAGACTTCCACAGACTTCCATAGACTTCTATAGACCTCCCCAGACTGCCATAGACTTCCATCAACTGCTATAGACTTCCATAGACTATACAATGAGATTCACCATTCCCCGAGCTATTGATGTTAAAATTTAAAGCACACCCGTCTTACATCCTCTGGCCATTTTGAATTAAAGCTTAAAATATTTCACAAAAGAAAACACGCATACGTATACAATGTGAATCATGTTTCTAAACAAGGCCTGCATAACTAAAAAATTAAGGCGGGCCTTAACACCTTATGAAAAGCTTGTGCGACCCGAAAGAAAATAGGACAGGGGCGAAAGCTATTAAGAAAATAATCATTATTTTAAAAAAAATATTTTGTTACTTCGCGGGCCGCAAAGTTAGTGCTGGCGGGCCTCATGTGGCCCGCGGGGCGTACGTTATTCAGGCCTGATCTAAAATATTCTCCCATGTTAACAAATTAAGACCACGCATAGTAAGGTCACCGTCGTGACAGCCTCTCACAAAGAGGATTAATGAAACGATATCGCAAACTTAAAGAGGCACTAAAGATTAATTTTTCCCACTTGAAAAAAAAAAAAAAAAATTTAAAATGTTATATTTTTAAATCGCGGATAACGGATTTTTTTATTTTCTATGTATTTAAAACCCTGATAAGATCACTTTACGAGTGCGATGATTTTTTTTCTTTTTTTAAATTGTCATTCAGACATCATTAAGTATAAATATCTTTAGATTCCGATGACCCTGTTGACCATTGAGATTAAAAAACAAAACCGGAAGCATGTGCAGCGTAGTTTCTCGAAACGAAAACATTTTAATCCATCAATGATTGACAGACGATCTTTTGACAAATGTTTGTCGTTTCAACACACAAAGAAACGGTGAAAATAGACACTACACTATTTGAACAGCTGCCCAGAGGGGTTGAAAGGGTGACGTGGGTAAGTAGGGGTGGGATGAGGGTCGATAAGTAGCAGGAGAGAGAGAGAGTGTGTGTGTGTGTGTGTGTGTGTGTGTGTGTTTGTGTGTGTGTGTGTGTGTGTGTGTGTGTGTGGACGTTTGATTGGGGAATATATGGCGAGGAGGCAGGTAGTGTTTATTCCTTTTATCCCAAAATGAAGATAAATAATCCCGGTATATACATATATATATATATATTTATTTATTTACATTATACATACGTTTTTAAAACCATCACGACATATTATAACCATTGGGGAAAAAATGTCTAAAACTGTGTGAAAACCACCATAAATGAATCGTTTTAATTAAGGAATGCACATTTTTGTAGCAAGGAGGTATGTTGAATAGCTGAAAGAAAAGAAAATAACTGTTAGCTCAAATAAAATGAGCATTCGTTAAGCAGTCAGTAAGGTAGAAAGGTGATCTAAAAAAATTGAGATATCAAAACCATCTAACGTTATCATATTTATGGAAAAATATTTGTAGGACAGCCCCACGTAAAGTTGCGTCACTAGGGTTGGTGTCACCCAGTGCGGGATGTTGTCATCACCCCCCCCCCCCACTCCAGAGTTCCTAATAGACTTCCTCCGAGTATGTCCACTCTGGCGACCCACTACTCGGGTAGCAACACGCCTAGTAGTCCACTGCTGTCTTGTGGCACCCTTTTCTGCTATGGTTCAAATTTTAAAAAATAAAGGTGGTACTGTTTTATTGTGGCACTATATTAAGGTGGCAGCCTGTTCTGATGGTAACTTTTTTTTTATTTTTTATTTTTTTTATTGCTCCCTGCCCTGGTGGCACCCTTTTCTTAAGACTCCCTGCTCTGGTGGCCCACATTTCTTAAGACCCCCGGCTCTGGTGGCACCTTTTCTTAAGACTACCTGCTCTGGTGGCCCACATTTCTTAAGACTCCCGGCTCTGGTGGCACCTTTTCTTAAGACTACCTGCTCTTATGGCCCCCATTTCTACTGTTCTGATTGTAACTTTTTTTTTATTTTTTATTTTTTGTGTTGCTCCCTGCCCTGGTGGCACCCTTTTCTTAATACTCCCTGCTCTGGTGGCCCACATTTCTTAAGACCCCCGGCTCTGGTGGCACCTTTTCTTAAGACTACCTGCTCTGGTGGCCCACATTTCTTAAGACTACCGGCTCTGGTGGCACCTTTTCTTAAGACTACCTGCTCTGGTGGCCCACATTTCTTAAGACTACCGGCTCTGGTGGCACCTTTTCTTAAGACTACCTGCTCTGGTGGCCCACATTTCTTAAGACCCCCGGCTCTGGTGGCACCTTTTCTTAAGACTCCCTGCTTGGTAGCCCACTTTTTCTCATGGTACTCTACTGGCACGCGGCTCATGCATTTAAACTACATCAGTTATTGAACCGACTCTATCGAGGTCTGACAAATTACGTTAATTGGTTTCGAACCCTTGTGAGGGAACCCTCTGGTGCGGGACTAACTACACGTATCACTCCTGGTGATGTGATTGCCAACAATTTTTACTACTTTGTCCCTAATATTTCTTTAAAGAAAAAAAATGTTTGCTGTATCTTTTAAAATGTAGATTTTAATTAACCGCGTAAGTGAGATGCTTAAAAAGAATATAATCTAATATTTCATCTTCAATTCGTAGCAAACGTTTTAATTCAACTTGATGGCGTGATCGTAAGTTAATTTCTCATTCATTCACTCACTCGTGCAGTATGAAGAATTGGTGGTCTTATTTGTTTGAAACTGTGTAAAGCTTTCATAGGAATACGAATACACACATCGGACCTTTTTTTCCTTCTTATATTTGAGTGACCCACGATTAATTTTTTGATCATCCTGGACCCTGGTTTAAATTCAGAGTTTGCCCTCTCTTAGATGGGTTGCCGTCCAAGGCTAACGGGTCCCATCCACCCGGGGTGCTTTGGATGTTGGCTTTGGTGGGGACTGAACTGCAGACCACCAGCCATTTGGTTTGAGACAGTTTAGACCGCTCGGCCACCCAGCATCCAAGATGACCTAACATGACGTAAAAGCATAATATTACCGAAGGTACACATTTGTACAAGAAATCGAGAACACTTTTTCGTTAGACGTGGTTCAAGAATAGATGACAGTTTTGACCCACACGTGGTAAATTTACAGGCATGAGCTAAAAAATTATAAACCATGAATTGAAACGTCTAAAACAAATATTTAATATAGTTTTTTATAAGATGTTTATCTGGATGTTTAAAGCAGCTGTTTGCATGTGTACACTGTCGGAGGATTATAGGATTTCCGGGATTTTTCGGCGAGTGGTGTGTTTAAATAGAGTGATCGGTTGTCCCGCGTTTAAAATATATTTAAACATTTGACTCTCTGAGGCCAGAGTTGGGCCATTTGGAATGTCAGTCTTTGTTTAAATATATAGGAGAGGAAGGAGAGGGGTAGTTTGTTGAATATGTAGGTAGGTTGGCGGTTGGTTGGATATGGATTTAGATTGGAAGATTGGTAGGTTGGTTAGCACATGGTTGGGTAGACTGACAGAAAAATAGATTGGTAGATAACCCATTATTAATTCGGCATCTTTTCCGCATAAGGAATAATTTTTGATAACATAATATGTTAAAAAGTAAACTTCACTAAGTAGCATGCGCACCCTCCCCCCGTGGAGCTGATGCCAAATGAAAAAATTCTATATGGTCAAGAAGTACACTTTTAAAGCTCTTGTATACGACTTTTGCGTAAAATCTGGACCGAGACCTATTGGCCAAATGTGCTTGAAAAAAACAACTTATTGTACTTTTACAAAGCAAATTTTGTCAACCCATTGTCTTAATGATTCATCGATCAATCCATGTGCAGATTTGATCAAGCCTGTGAAGGAGTAAAAGTGAAAACAAGCTTATCTCTCCTACGGTAAACTACTTATTTTTGAGCCTCAGCGTGTGATGCGTTGCTTTACTCTATTTACCTGCTGTGAGCATGCGGCACACGGAAGAATACAGCCTTACTCCGCGGCTTTTTTTTTTTTTTTAAATTAAACGAGAGCATTCTGCCATTAAAATGCTTGGATNCTGCCATGAAACTGCAGGTATAGAACCGTTTACCGAATGTACTAGGGAGGACATTTTTTCAAAAAAAAAAAAAAAAATTGAAATCAGAGATTTCTGTTTACAGACCAGACTTATCTGATGAGCACTTTCACGACCTTTAAAAAAATAATAGTTTGTGTTACCGTTGAGTTCGAATGAATGCAATTGTGCCAGAAAAGCATCAGTCTCATGATTCCCACTGTTGTAAAAAAAAATTAAAAATATGGTAATAAGGGGAAGAAACTGCATTCAGGCTAGGAAAAGGGAAATGAGCGAAACAAAGTATGGGATACTTGGAAAAAAATAACCTTTTTTTAAATACTGTTTAAGTTTTTTTTTTTTTGCTGATGAAGGCTTCCTGCCGACACGTTCCTTGGTTTGTTGCGTCCTTTTTTCAGGTTTCCCCATCATTTCTTTCGATTTTCTACTTTAATGTTTCTCCATCTAATATTATATTTTGTTGTCTAAACTATTTAAAAGGGATCTGTGCCAGAAAAGACACACCAATATCTCACATGACTTAAATAGTTTATCTTACAATATTTACATATTCGTTTTCATCTAGTATACATTATTGATGTATTCAGGTCATACACGCAGGCCAACGTGATTTTGATACAACCCACCCCCCCCCCCCCTGACTGTCATAACCCAACGAGATCTTCTTCTTACAGGCACTTGTAAAACGAAAATTTGATCGATCCATGGCTAGGGCATAAACTCATACCCACCCCCCCCCCCCTGACTGTCATAACCCAACGAGATCTTCTTCTTACAGGCACTTGTAAAACGAAAATTTGATCGATCCATGGCTAGGGCATAAACTCATATCTAATTGTAGATTTGTACTCAAATGATTTCAGATTTCAGATTTCATGCTTTTTTGTGTTACAAATGCTAATGTCTTTGATACATTTCTAAAGTTCTTCGGAATCATTTTTCTAGGATACCTAAAGTGCACTTAACTACAATGTACTGACCTTCAGTTTAATGACCTACGGTGTAATGACCTACAGTGTAATGAACTACCCCGTAATGACCTGCAGTGTAATGAACTACAGTGTAATTGCCCACAGTGTGCTGATTTACAGTTTAATGACCTGACGTGTAATTAGCTACAGTGTAATGATCTACAAATGAAAGACCTACAAAGTAATAACATGAAATGTAATGACCTGCACCATAATGACCAACAATGCAATAATGTACAGTGTTACATGTTTTGGGCCAAAGATGGTTTTACCGTATTTCAACTGCATTAGATTTACAAACACGGGTTTAAATACGTGTTAATCTAAATGAACGGGACGTCACCGTCCTTTGCCCTTTACACAAGAAATTATCACAATTGTAAGGTAAAGATTCATTCAGAGTATACTAATAGCCTGTGTTTTAACTGTACAAATGTAATGCAATTACAGTGCAAATTTCTTTTTTTTAAAATAAGGAATATTGAAAACCAACCTTAGGAGACAAAACTAAGTCTATCAGCTGACACGAATTTTTTATTAGCTTTCTCTTCAATTTTTTTATTTTTATTTTTGGTTTTTATTTTTTTTTCCTTGGCCACAGAAGAAGTTTTTTAAAAGACGAACCGGTTTCAGTTAAACCGTAATGGGGTGGTTCAGTTTTGCCAAATGGAATACAAACGCGCCCGCGGCCGATGATAATCCTCCATTCAAGGCAAAATGCCCAAACCCCAAAGAAGGAAAACATAAAAATTAAAGAAATCAAATGTCGAAGAATTCAGCTGCAGTTACTAACAGCAAGTTGTTGACGGACCTGGTGTGTGGGACACTCGCATGGGCGATGACTCTTCTGCGAATCTTGTCATCAATTCTGTCGCTGCAAATACACGAGGTTATCACACGTTCCTCCATGTACAGAAATTCGGAACGCGATTCACCGCTGAGGATAAAGACACGGTGGAGTTTTCAAAAGAGATATCTGGAAAAGGTTTTGCCAGGGACTTCTGTATTCTGGTTCTAGCTTATGGTGACTGCTTTGAAGGTGAAGTCGATGGATTGACTTTGATGGAAGAATGTTGTCGTCGCGTTATTTTGATTGACACTCGGTCGAAGGATGAAGACAAAAAGCAGAAACAGCTTGATGAACTATATTTTTTGTCTCCATGGTAGACAATTTGCGTTGGAGGGAAAAACTTTACACAAACAATAATTTTCGCGAGGCCAAGGAGCAGCGCAAAACATATATTGTAGAATCCAAACTGCCAATTATCGAAAAGAAAACCCACGAAGAAACGAAATTCATCATGCACAGTCTTGAAATGATACAAAAAGCAAAGAGTACAGAGAGTACGAAGCAGGACCTATGGCAGCTTAAGGAAAAAGCCATAGAATTGCACGAAAGCGTTATAGATCAAGATCGTAGAACGGGTGTCCTTCTTGCCCTCGCGCAAACCGTCGAGAGCTTAATGCACGTCATCGATGACGAAATTATAGTTTTTGACAAACTAAGCGATTCAAAGGATAAACAGAAAAAAGAGGAAGAGAAACATGTGAAGGCGCTTGAGAAAGATATGAAACGACAAGTACGAACGTCATCCGAGACAGTGTAAACAGGACGAGGAGCGCAAGATTAAGCTTCGGCCTCAGAACGAATCAAAGAGCAGGAGCAAAAGACGAAGTTGGAGAATGAAGCCTTAAAGAGAGAGGAGAAGTTTCAGATGTTGAGAGATAGAGAACGACGAAAACAGCAACAACAGCTAGACGAAAGGAATAGAAAGTACAACCATGTCACGAAAGTTAATGAGAAAAAATATCGGTCTGATGATTTTAAATATTTTTTTGGTGACTGTTTTGATTAATATGGGTAACTTCCGTGATTTGAAAAAAAGTATAGTTTTCTCTTCTTCAAAATCATAGGTACGCTAACTGTTAAAAAAACACTAAATTAAAAACATGTCTCATATCATTTCATAACACATGGTGCATGGTGCACAATTTTTCTAGATCTGGGCCCCAGCACTTCTTTTCTTCGATTTCCCGCCCAGCCAACACATAAAGTCTGAACCGTAGGACAGCCATGTCTGACAGGCTACGACAAGTTTTGCTTTATAAACATAATTTTGTAGAATTTCCAGAAAATGGTTTCAGATATAAATTTTACAACTTTTCTAGAAAATCATATTTCTTGAAAATAAAAATGTAATGAAATAAATGAACAATCTTTTGATGACAATGGTTGTGGGACCTTCATTTCATCAGACGGAGGAGTTACAATAATCAGTGGATATAGAATTGTGCAGGAATTTATATTGAAAGTACGATACATGTATTATTTCTGATTGCTATTTTTTTTTATTTAGATCTTTATTTCAATCACAGTGAAATACTTATGGCACTTAAATTATTGGCTATTTTTCTTTGTTTAAATTTTGTCGTTAAACTTTAAAGACTTTAGAAATTACAGTAGAGTAATTTCAATGTTACATTAGGTATAAATTGTGTTTTTTTCGTTTTTTCATTATTTTTATTTTAATAGTTTGTTTTTTTCCACATCGGATTCTAAAATGTAGTAATGATACGTTGCAACAGAGTAATTTTATTTAACAAACGGACGAAAGATGAAGATCTAAAAATAAAACAGGTTGCTGATCTCATTAAAATGGTCGACGACCTTCGTTGGCTCGAATTGCGATACACAGATAAAAACTTCGAGCAGCCGTCAGAGGCGCGCAAAAAAGCTGTCTATGGAAAACAAGAAGTCATTGCTGCAGGAATGGATGAAAGAACTCAGTTTGATTATTCAGAAGCTTGAGACGGTGAAGACAAAGAAGCCGGAACAGAGTTTGTATCATTTGAGAAGAGCTGCAGAAACGAATTCAGGTCGTCTACGATAAGATAGTATCTCAGGATGAAGGAACAGGGGTTCTGAGTGATTTACAAGAAACAGTGCAGACAATTACAAAGGCGATTGACCATGAAATTTTGATAACCGAAAGATTAATTGAAGAAAGCCAAAAACTGATCATCGAAGAGAAAAAAGCAAAGCCAATTTTATGAAGAAATGTTGAAGAAACAGAGACAGGAATACGAGGAGCTAATTGCAGAGAAATTAATGGACGCAGAGCGCAGACAAAAGCTTGACGAGTATCATAAAAATAAAATGAAGGAGATAGAAGATGAAGTGAAGAGAAAGAAATTGGCAAGAGAGAAAAACTTAAGGGAAGCCCTAGTTGAGGAGCGCTGAAGTCAGAAACAGATCATGGAAGACATAGGGAAGCAGTACCGTGAAAGTAAAAGTAAAAAAAAGTTAATCCGCCGTTCAGATATTTTTGCTGACTACACTGCCTGTGTATACTTCCGTAGACTATTTTCTGCGTTCAGGGCACAGTCGTAATGAAGTGGATGTTACAAATTCGACTTTTACTTCTCCTAGTCGGGCTGCCAGCCAAGAACAACTAATCCAAACCTGTGCATAGCTATAGGAGTAAGACAGCAAACACCAGCTCTCGTGGTAGGGATGCTAGTGTTCCTATAATATACCATGGAATCGTATATGTTTATGCAAAAGAGTATCTGGAATGGTTAATGGTAATCTCACGTTTGATTTAATATTATATGGATTTTAAGCTATTCGGATGTTGGTGTCTTAGGCTAAAAAAGACTTATGTTTATTTATATAAATAGATATGCAGTGTTTGTGAAGTTAAGACGTTTTCATATTCCTACCCACGTCTTTATAGCATAGATGTTTTTACTATTTTTATATAATTTTTGTATCGTTATCAAGAATATCCATACATTATATTGGTATATTTATATTATATAGTAAAGTTTTTATATTGTATATCATTTTTTCCATATAAATTATAAGTAAATGTATGTAAAACATTCATATATTTATATAGTATTTTATTATATTTCTATAAGTATATTGGCATAAGTATTGAAGAATTGTTATGTTTTGTTCTTTAATATTTCAAATAAAAATCAAATATTTAAAATTGTCATGGTAATATTTTACGTTAATTTTTTTTCCTAGAAATTATTATATTACAATAACAACAATATGATGTTTTTGAAGAACCTCTTTATTTATTTTTGATGGATTTATGAAACAATGTATTATTTCATTTGATAATTTGAATGTTTGATAATCCATATTTCCGTCTCATACACTCCATGTGATTCTCTTAAGACCATTCTGCGCAAATTCTTAGGAACAGTATCCATCTTATGCAGAACCTAACGGCCCCTAAAAAAAACCAAGAATATCAAGAAAGTAATAATTAGTTGGCACGTAGATATAAATAACAATTGCTTTGCATAGAGAGGGCACGGTGACACAGGCATGACACATATATTTCATTTAATACTCACCGATCAAACAAGTGGTGGGGCTGAGAAAAACCTAACTTAATGAGGGAGGGGGGAGAAAATTGCATTGAAACTATAATATATAATGAACAATCTTTTTTTTTTTAGTTCACAGTGCATCGATTTCTCATCACCTAATCACGCCTCCATAAAAAAAAATTCATAAACAAATCAATTATAAACATAAATAAAGATTTTAAAAAATAATTAGGACATAAATACACTAAAGACCTGGATTCTGTCTACATATCTATTATCTAAATAGCGTACCCATGTAATTTTCCCCTAAACAAACATTCAGGAGCCACACACACACACACGCACAGGCTATAATACATCCACAACTATCAATACATCCATACCAAAAAAGAAGAAATAAAATAAGCAACACTATTCAAGGAAGTCATGGATAATTCACACTCCACACATAATCACATGCGGGATAATCCTACCATCTACCAGGTATTGCTCCTAACACGCACGTAGTCCTTAATCTGTCTCTATTTCTAAACGGATACACTGACCACCATGAAAAAAACAGACACCTTACATGGACCAAAAAAATGAAACTATCTAAATTTAAAGAAAAAAACAACAATGGTTGGGAACACTCACGGCTTTGTTTAGCGTCATCTGAAGTATTCTAGATGAAAATAATAAAAATTATAACGTTTACATAAGTGTAACAATAAGCAAGCCAACTGTATTAGCTTTTAATTGTCAAAAAAACAAATGACATATTTTTCCTTTCTGAAATGCTCACAGTTTATTTATGACTGACTAGAGCATCGTTTCCCAATATTTTCTACACACAACTCCAATTTGACCCTTCCCGTACAACCTGAGAATTGTTTCGCACCCCATACAAACGTGACTAAGATTTCTAAATTCGTTATTTATGGATTTTAAACTAAAAAATGTAGAACTTAGAAGATAGACAGACGTGTGACTTATCACACAACGGAAACTGCTAATGAAGGATTTAAAAAAAATATATAAATGTGTTTAGAACAGCTTGTGAGCTAACATCTACCCTGTTCTTGTAATCTCCCTTTTCCTCCCACCAAAATGAAATGCCAGCTCACAACCCGAGTTTGGGAAAACCCCGGTCTTGAGCACAAAATTTAATAAATATAGTTCATAATAATGTCACATAGTATCTAATTTTATCCAATTCATCCCAAATAGTTCTTAAGTATTAAAATTAAATTTAATAAAAAAAAAAAAAAAACAAAAAAAAAAAAAAAATTAAAAAAAAAAAAAAAAAAAAAAAAAAAAAAAATATTTCTTTATTTTAAATAAATTAATCCCAATTAAATATTGTTTTCAAACGTTCAAGCGGTGGTGTATTTGTTTGTTTTTTTCTCTTTACATCATCGTACTGACATCTTCCTCTGGGTTAAACACGTAAAAAAAGAGCCACACATCGCAGCCCCCTTACAAAAGTTACAAGGTGTTAAAATAGTTACGTTTTTATAACTAATACAAATATGTTTGCGATTTTACTCACATTAGTGTTACTTTTCGGTTGCTGATCATCAGCGAAAATAAGAACATCGTCACTTCCGTTTCCAGCTTTGGCAGTTTCCTGGGTTCCAGATTTCTCATTCTCAGCAATGTTAACTGATGGTAAATAAAATAGGTCTAAAATAACAATAATCAGAGAGCATATTTCTACACAGAGACATTGAATAATGATGAAAAGTGCAATGTTTGTTTTAAATAACCTTCATGTATAAAAGACTGTGCGAGTTTCGGCAATGAGTTACATAAGATTTATTAAATCCATTCGTCCCTGTCTTCTACAATCCTCCCCCATTATTTCCTTTGAAAAATAGCTATGCATATTGTCCACACTGTAGATTGAAGTCTTTGAATGTAATTGGCAAACAATGCCACACAATATAATATTAAAAACAAACCCTTAAAAACAAAGGTTTTCGTATAATTTATTTATCTGCATTAATTTTAAAAAAAATATCTATATTAATATTGTAATGTCCCTTCCGCTTTTAAACCACAGATATACTACATGATCTATTTCAGAAAAAATATTTCGCGTCATACACACGTGCGTATTCTTTTTTTTAATAAAAGAATCTCGTTTATTTAGCGCAGATATCTGGAATTTTATTTCGTGAAATCATTGGCACCATATTTTTTCTTCTTCCCATTGAAGAACAGGATAAAAACTTTTTTCAGAAAAGGGGGGGGGGGCTGAAAATTTGATATCAGCAACGAGTCTCTTTGACAAGTTTTAGCTCAATAGATTGACGAGAAGTGGGTTGATTAGCCGTCCGAAAATTAGCCACACCCAGCCAGAAAGAAACGGACGAACAAAAGGAAAGTTAATACAACTGTTCGAACAATAATCTATTTTCAAGGTTAATAGAAAATAGGTGAAAATAAA